TCTTGGGAGGAGAGCAATGTCCAGTCTCGATAAAATAGTGAAGAGTAGAGACATCAGACTGACAACCAAGATCCATTGCCTAGTCAAAGCCATGGTATTCCCTGTAGTCACCTACGGATGTGAGAGCTGGACCTTAGGGAAGGCTGAGCGAAGGAGAGAGATGCTTTTGAGCTGTGGTGTTGGAGGAAAGTTCTGAGAGTGCCTTGGACTGCGAGAAGATCCAACCAGTCCATCCTCCAGGAAATAAAGCCCGACTGCTCACTGGAGGGAAGGAGACTAGAGACAAAGTTGAAGTACTTTGGCCACATCATGAGAAGACAGGAAAGCTGGGAGAAAATTATGCTGGGGAAAGTGGAAGGAAAAGGAAGAGGGGCCGACCAAGGGCAAGATGGATGGATGGCATCCTTGAAGTGACTGGACTGACCTTGAAGGAGCTGGGGGTGGTGACGGCCGACAGGGAGCTCTGGCGTGGGCTGGTCCATGAGGTCACGAAGAGTTGGAGAAGACTGAACGAATGAACAACAACTGTGAAAGCCACCCACTGCATGGCTACCAGCCTCCTCTCAGTAGACTCAAATCAAGGAAAAGCTTTATGAGAACTACCACTCCTCTTGGCGTCCCCCCAGCAACAGCAAGGGTATCCCTCTGGGCAGCTCAACCAGGAAATTGCCCCCCACAAGAGAGGGTCTTCTTCCAGGGGCAAACCAAGAATAGGCAACCTGGAAGTCCCTGAACAGACTCGGAAGCGGAGTGGGCAGATCAAAAGACAACCTGGCAAAAAGAATCCCACACCTTGTGTGACTGTGGAGAAGAACAGACAACTCCGCATCGTGTATGCTTGTCCATTGTGCCCTGCCTCATGTACAGAGGAAGAATTGTTGGAGGCTACAGACATTGCCAGGAGCCCCCGGTGGTGCAACAGACAACTCCGCATCTGTATGCTTGTCCATTGTGCCCTGCCTCATGTACAGAGGAAGAATTGTTGGAGGCTACAGACATTGCCAGGAGCCCCCGGTGGTGCAGTGGGTTAAAGCACTGAGCTGCTGAGCTTGTTGATCGAAAGGTCGCAGGTTCGATTCCGGGGAGCGGCGTGAGCTTCCGCTGTCAGCCCTAGCTTCTGCCAACCTAGCAGTTCGAAAACATGCAAATGTGAGTAGATCAATAGGTACCGCTCCGGTGGGAAGGTAACGGTGCTCCATGCAGTCATGCCGGCCACATGACCTTGGAGGTGTCTACGGACAACGCTGGCTCTTCGGCTTAGAAATGGAGATGAGCACCACACCCCAGAGTCAGACATGACTGGACTTAATGTCAGGGGACTACCTTTACCTTTACCTTTTACAGACATTGCCATTGCTATTGCCCATAATTGGTCAAAAGATATTTAGCCACCTGCACTCCTTCTATTTTTGTCATTTTTTATACTAATTTTGATACAAAATAAATAAATAAAAATTACATCTTCACCAAATAGGTAAAGGTAAAGGTTTTCCCCTGACATGAAGTCCAGTCGTGTCCGAATCTGGGGGTTGGTGCTCATCTCCATTTCTAAGCCGAAGAACTGGCTTTGTTCATAGACACCTCCAAGGTTATTTGGCCAGCATGACATGGAGCGCCGTTACCTTCCCGCCGGAGCGGTACCTACTGATCTACTCACATTTGCATGTTTTCGAACTGCTAGGTTGGCAGAAGCTGGGGCTAACAGCGGAAGCTCATGTCGCCCCCCGGATTCGAACCTGTGACGTTTCGGTCAACAAGCTCAGCAGCTCAGCGCTCTAGACACGCAAACCACATCACACCAAAATCAACATTATGGGGAGGCTTATGAGGAGATAACTTCAGAGGTGGACAACCCTTAGGCTTGGAGGAATATCATCTTTACAAAGAGACATAGGACCAGGAAGCCTCTTCAGAATACTTCTGCTCAGCTGCAGTTACACAATAGATCCCAAATTCTTACACAACTAACACCTGACCAGAAAACACAACATCACAATGACTTAGATACTGGGTTGTTGTAGGTTTTTTCGGGCTATATGTCCACCATGTTCTAGAGGCATTTTGGCCTGACGTTTCGCCTGCATCTATGGCAAGCATCCTCAGAGGTAGTGAGGTCTATTGGAACTAGGAAAGTGGATTTATATATCTGTGGTACTCCACGGATATCCACAAGCATGTGGACAATTTCAACAGAAAGGAAGAAACCATGAAAAATGAACAAAATCTGCCTACCAGTATCAAAAAAACTCTAAAAGTACAACACCAAAACAACAGAGGGGAAACAATCAGGCACCTCTCAACAAAAGATTGCCCCAGGCACTGCCAGGCCATCAAATGCTAATCAAGGTGGTCAGTTGAAACATTCACACTTGTCTCAAATAGACACGAGTTCTTTGCCCCACCCTGGTCATTCCACAAATATATAAACCCACTTTCCTAGTTCCAATAGACCTCTGAGGATGCTTGCCATAGATGTAGGCGAAACGTCAGGACAAAATGCCTGTAGAACATGGCCATATAGCCCGAAAAAACCTACAACAACCCAGTGATTCCGACCATGAAAGCCTTTGACAAGACTTAGATACTGCTCAGTGGATCTTCCTTGATCAGTGCATGGGGCACTGACTGGGACAACACTTCATAACATTCACATGTACACAATCATGCAGATGTTCCACACACTCAGGAGACTGATAGGCTCTTGGACAAATCTCAATGGATTTTCCTTGACGAATGCACCAGGGATGTCAAGGAGGAGGACAACACTTTATACCTACACAAAAGAGACCCTGTCAATCCTCAAAGGAAACAGGTCTTGGTAGTAGGCGACTCCCTTCTTAGACGTACAGAAGCCGTCATTTCCAGACAGGATGGGATGGCTCGAGAAATATGCTGCCTACTGGGGACGAAAATGCACCATATCACTCAGAAGCTCACCAGGCTCCTCAAACCTCATCACCGTCTCCCCCCTCATGTTTTTTTTTCTTAATTTTTTATTAACCCTTTTCAAATTATACATAAAAATATAGGGGAAGGGGAGTTCTAGGAATAACCAGGATAGGTATGGGAATGGAAAGATAGGTGAGGGATAATTTTTTAAAAAGGGAATGGAAAAATATGGGTCGGAGTTGAAGGTTAGGAAAGTGCAAGGGAGGGGAAGGGATCTCGACATCTCCATCTCCTTTTTTGTGTATGTTTATTTCTTCTTTGTTCTAGCGGCTCATCTTTTAGATAGGTTTTCCTCAATTTATTTTATTTTATTTGTGTTTTGCTCTTTTTCAATACCTCTGGTGAGTATAGTCAAGGGCGGCTCGTCCATTACGCGAAGTGGTAAGCGGTCACAGAACACTTTTTTTGCCAGGGGCGCAGAGGCGCCTCTGTACATGCTCCTCGACCGCCACTTGAGGAGCGCCCCCTCAGCTCACAACAGCCCTAGGAGTCCGGGGGGAGCCTCGGCTTTCTTGCCTCGCTGCCGGGCGATCCTCTTCCCAAAGGGGCCGGGCCCTTGAGCCTCGCCTAGCCCCTCTCGTTCCTGCTCCACCCAGCCACCGGGTGCGCGAGCAGAGCCGGCGCTCAATCGTTCTCCACGTTCGATCCCTTCCCCATGACCGGCTCCCTTTCCTGATCCCCCGGCGCTCCACCCGCCTCCTCTCCCCAATCCGCGGGTGGGCCAAGGGGCGGAGCCGCTGCGCCTGGCCCGCTTCAGGTCCGGAGGCATGTCTGAAGACCCCAGCGTGCGCACCAAAAGTCACCTCTTCTCCTGACTTTCTCTTCAGCCATTGGGACCAAGAGAGAGAAGAGAGAGAGAGACCCTCCGGCTGGAGGTATCTCCCACCTCCGCTCCCTCCTTTGTTTTTGCGCCTACCTTCAGGAAAGGTGGGCATCTCCACCTCTGTCTCTCTCTCTCTCTCGGTCCCAATGGCTGAGGAGAAAGTCAGGAGAAGAGGTGACTTTTGGTGCACACGCCGGGGTCTTCAGGCACGCCTCCGGACCCAAAGTGGGCCAGGCAAGGGAGCAAGTGCGGCAAGTGTAGTTACTGGGATGTATAGTTCACCTACAATCAAAGAGCATTCTGAACTCCACCAATGATGGAATTGAACCAAATATGGCACACAGAACTCCCACGACAAACAGAAAATATATATCAAAGATTGATGGGGGGGGGGGCAAAATACTGTTTGCTTACCGTTGAAAATTACCTAGGGCTGCCTCTGAGTATAGGTCCTCCACATTCTCAGATGGTCTTCTGTTGAAATTGTCCATGAAGAAACCATGAAAATGAACAAAATCTGGCTACCAGTATTAAAAAACTCAAAAATTACAGCAGCAAAACAACAGAGGGGAAACAAACAGGCACATGAAATTACTCTCAACAAAAGATTCCCCCCAGGCGCTTCCAAGCCATTGAATGCAAATCAAGGTGATCAGCTGAAACATTCACAGCTAGCCCCAGCAAACAAAAGTCCTTTGTCTCACCTTGGTCATTCCACAGATATATAAACCCATTTTTCCTAGTTCTAACAGACCTCATTACCTCTGAGGATGCTTGCCATAGATGCAGGCGAAACGTCAGGAGAAAAATTGCCTCCAGAACATGGCCATGTAGCCCGGAAAAACCTACAACAACCATGGATTCTGGCCATGAAAGCCTTCGACAATATATATATTTTCTGTTTGTCGTTGGAGTTCTGTGTGCCATATTTGGTTCAATTCCATCATTGGTGGAGTTCAGAATGCTCTTTGATTGTAGGTGAACTATACATCCCAGTAACTACAACTCGCATATGTCAAGGTCTATTTTCCCCCAAGGGCATCTCAAGAGCGCCCCTGGGCAAAATCAACTCTACTGTGAATGCTTACTTTGCGTATGGGTTGAGCCGCCCCTGGTGGTAGTTCAAATCATCTAGCAACACTGAATTGAGAAAAATGGGGGGCATTTCATGCATTTTTTTGAAGTCTCCCATATTAAGTCTTCTTTTCTTTTTGGAACTTGGCTCCAGCAGGTCTGGGTCTATGCTGAGGAAGAGCTGCCTGACGGATGCTTTCCCTGCCATAGAGCTTCTCTTGCGATGTCCTTGAGGTGGGACGACTGAAGGCTGCTCTGCGGAGATGAGAAACAGAGCTTGGCCACAAGACACCGTTGCAAAGGTCCCGGAGAGCTGCCCAATGGTGTCTCCTGGTCTCCAAGGGACCCGGCACCCAAGGACCACTTGACCCTTCCTCCAATTTCCCCATCTTCCTTGTGGTTTCGGGAGCAGAGCGCCTTGGGAAGAGGACCCTTCTTGGCGGTGCTGTGGGGTGTCTGGCCAGGGCAGTTGTGCTATGAATTGGTGTTTATGGATTGTTTACCTCGCCCTGGTCTGCAGCAGCTGCACTGAAGGTAAGGCCTTTGCATTGCCTTGCATTGAGGGGGATGGTGAGAGGATGTCATGGTCAGTTTTGTCCAAAGAGTAGAGGGATTATATATGATCTTCTTTCTATAATGGCATTATATATGATCTTCTTTCTATAACTATATTCAGCTTCCTCTATCAGTCACAATTGAATATAATAATAATAGCAATAATAATAATCTATCTATCTATGTATATAATAAAAGTCAGTGTTTGTATGCGGAGGGAGGACGGTGTATGTGGCAGCTTTCTGATTGGCTGCCACTTTCACAGGCTGCTGTGATCAGGACAAAACTTGGCACACATAACCCCCATGACCCCCTTTACGTCCTGGTGAGGTTTGGGGGAGGACGGACAAAGGATGATGGGATTTGTAGTACTTTCCCACCCTTTTGTTCCCACAGACTACTGTGGCCCCCAACAAAGACCGATAAAGACCAAACTTTGCACACAGAGCCCCCATGACCCACTCTACATCCTACTGCTGTTTGGAGGAGGGTGGGCCATGGATGATGGGACTTGAAATACCTCCACTCACTTCCCAAGACCGCTGCAACCCTCATCCAATGACTGATCAAGACCAAACTTGGCACACAGAGACCCCATGACCCACTCTACATCATGGTGTGGTTTTGAGGAGGATGGACCACGGATGATGGGACTTGAAGTACCTCCACTCACTTCCAGAGACACTCATCCAATGACTGATCAAGACCAAACTTGGCACACAGAGCCCCCATGACCCACTCTACATCCTGGTGCAGTTTAGAGGAGGATAGACCATGGAAGCTGGGACTTGAAGTACCTCCACTCACTTCCCGAGACCTCTGCGAACCTCATCCAATGACTGATCAAGACCAAACTTGGCACACAGAGCCCCCATGACCCATTCTACATCCTGGTGCTGTTTGGAGGAGGATGGGACTCGCAGTACCTTCACTAACTTCCTGAGAGCACTGTGAGCCACATAAATAACTGATAAAGACCAACCTTGGCGCACAATGCCTTTCTCAAATTACCCGGGCAGCGCTGGTCCCCAAGCTAGTAATAATAATAATAATAATAATAATAATAATAATAATAATAATAATACATCACACAGCTTGGGAAGTGTTCGACTTGCGATTTTGTGATACGAAATCCAGCATATATATCTTGTTTGCTGTGACATAATGTGTAATAATAATAATAATAACAAAATATGGATTGTCGATGTTGCAATCCCAGGTGACAGCAGGATTGAAGAGAAACAACTGGAAGAGCTGACACAATAATGAGGATTTTTAAATGGAACTGCAAAGACTGGCAGAAGCCAGTCAAGGTGGTCCCAGTGATGATTGGCACAATGGATGCAGTTCTCAAAGACTTTGGCCTGCATTTAAACACAATCAGCGCTGACAAAATTACCAGCTACCAGCTGCAGAAGGCAACCTTAGAGAACTATTCCTTAATTTAAGGCACTGGCCGATATGCAAACAGAGGATGGGCTGGAGATGTCCCTGCCTTGGTCCTTTCATTATTGGCTGCTACTTCCCGGCAGATGTCAGGTGGTGCAATAATGGCTAAACAGTATAATTTCTTCAGTGGTGTTGGGCATAGACATCCTGTGATAATGTGGCATGTCTCATTAAGAGCCACATGCACTGTTTAAAGGTGGTGAAATGTATTCCCCACTGGGCATGCGTACTCAGCAGCAGAGTGGCAAAGCACAAGGGCAGATGTCTTCACTGTGTCTGGTTGTGATCCCCAGGTTGTGCCAGCCAGCTTTCGTATCATCTTTTTCCAGCACCCATTTTTTACTTGATAGTCAAGCAGTGCTTCTTGTAAGTCAGAGCACAGTCCATAATGACTCCCAGGTATTTGGGTGTGCGGCAATCCTCCAGTGGGATTCCTTCCCAGGTCATCCTCAGAACTTAAGATGCTTGTCTGTTCTTAAGATTAAAAGCACACATCTGTGTTTTTACTAGATTAGGAATCAGCTGGTTTCCCCTGTAATAGGCAGTCAGGGCACCTCAAGCTTCAGGGAGCTTCTGTTCCACCATTTCAAAGCTCCCTTCTTGAACGGTGATGGCACGATCGTCAGCATAAATGAAGCTCTCTGTTCCTTTTGGCAGTGGTTGGTCATGTGTGTAAATGTTAAACATTGATGAGCAAGCATGCTCCCCTGAGACAGGCAGTTCTTCTGTTTCGCCATCTGCTTCTCTGGCCCTGGAATTCAACAAAAAGCTCCTGTGTAATATTAATATAATACTAGTAAAGGTAGTCCCCTGACATTAAGTCCAACCTAGCAGTTTGAAAACATGCAAATGTGAGTAGATCAATAGGTACCGCTCTAGAACATGGCCATATAGCCAAAAAAGCCTACAACAACCCAGTGATTCCAGCCATGAAAGCCTTCGACAATACATTGCCAGAACTTTGTTTTTGCTGGACGTCTTGCAGCACACTTTGCTCTAGTTTTTCAATTAATACCTCATCGAGTCTCAGCCAATCCAACCTAGTTTGTGGCAGCCAGAAAAACAAAGTTTCTGGAGTAGAACAACTACTTTCAAAGTAAGTGCTGAATAATAAAACAGGGGATAGCACTTTCAAAGCTGGAACAGAACATTATTCAAATTTTGTTACATGGTGTAAATAATAATAATAATAATAATAATAATAATAATAATAATAATAATAATAATAATAGTGCTGTTTTCTGGCATTGTATAGAACTGCAAAAACTCTGGCATAAACCAGTCCAGGTGGTCCCAGTGGTCATTAGCGCACTGGGTGCCGTGCCAAAAGATCTCAGCCGGCATTTGGAAACAATAAACATCGACAAAATCATGATCTGTCAACTGCAAAAGGCCACCTGACTTGGATTCGAAAATAGATCACACAGTCCTAGACGCTTGGGAAGTGTTCGACTTGTGGTTTTGTGATACAGAATCCAGCATAGAGATCTCATTTGCTGCGACATACTGTGCTTTTGGGTCAGTAAAATTACAACAATAATAATAATAATAATAATAATAATAATAATAATAATATAATAATAATACTTAAAAATGTATTACCCGCTTCTTCTTATAACTCAATATAAGATGATGATGATGATGATGATGATGATGATGATGATGATGATGATTATTATTATTTAAATTTATTACCCGCCTCTCCTTATGGCTCCTGACTTGGAGAAGGCTTGGTGGTTTTGCACAGCACACCGCTACCAGATTGGTTTGTAATGAAATTGCTCCCAGCTTCAATATTATCTCCTTTCGTTATGCCTGACAGCGATTCTCGCCAATGGCAGTCCTATTCAGCCGTACCTCTAGAAGAGAACATTGGCCTCCAGATATTCTGGACTTCACCTCTCATCAGTATTAACTAACATGGCCAGAGGTGGGAGTCCAGATCACCTGTAGGGCATCAGATAAGGTAGGCTGTGTTCCCTGATCCTCTCAACTAGGGAGCTTTTAGTATCCTATGTAAAACACACTTTGCCACTGAGATGTGGACCTGTTCATTTCAAATCTCTACAGCATTGTTTAATGTACTCTGATGAAGGGAAATGCTGTTTTGCTCATGATGCACATTTAGGATTCCTAGAGCAGCATTTCTCAACCTGAGGATCGGGACCACTGGGGGAGTCATGAGGGGAGTCTCAAGAGGGGTCGCCAAAGACCATAAGAAAACACAGTATTTCCTGTTGGTCATGGGGGTTCTGTGTGGGATATTTGGTTCAATTCCATCGGTGGTGGGGTTCAGAATGCTCTTTGATTGTAGGTGAACTATAAATCCCAGCAACTACAACTCCCAAATGTCAAGGTCTATTTTCCCCAAACCCCAGCACATTTGGGCATGTTGAGTATTTGTGCCAAGTTTGGTCCAGATCTATCATTGTTTGAGTCCACAGTGCTCTCTGGATGTAGGAGAGCTACAACTCCAAAACTCAAGGTCAATGCCCACCAAACCCTTCAAATATTTACTGTTGGACGTGGGAGTTCTGTGTGCCAAGTTTGGTTCAATTCCATCGGTGGTGGGGTTCAGAATGCTCTTTGATTGTAGGTGAACTATAAATCCCAGCAACTACAACTCCCAAACGTCAAGGTCTATTTTCTCCAAACTCCACCAGTGTTTACATTTGGGCATTTTGAGTATTTGTGCCAAGTTTGGTCCAGATCTATCATTGTTTGAGTCCATAGTGCTCTCTGGATGTAGGAGAGCTACAACTCCAAAACTCAAGGTCAATGCCCACCAAACTCTTCAAGTATTTTCTGTTGGACGTGGGAGTTCTGTATGCCAAGTTTGGTTCAATTCCAATGTTGGTAGAGTTCAGAATGCTCTTTGATTGTAGGTGAACTATAAATCCTAGCAACTACAACTCCCAAATGACAAAATCAATCCCCTCACAATCCCAACAGGATTCAAATTTGGGCGTATCAGATATTTGTGCCAAATTTGGTCCAGTGAATGAAAATACATCCTGCAAATCAGATATTTACATTACAATTCATAACAGTAGCAAAATTATGAAGTAGCAACAAAAATAATTACCGCATACACTCGGGTATAAGTCGACCTGAATATAAGCCGAGGCACCTAATTTTACCACAAAAACTGAGAAAACGGATTGACTCGAGTGTAAGCCGAGGGTCTGAAATGCAGCAGCTATGCGTAAATTGGAAAATAAAAATAGATACCAATTAAATTACATTAATTGAGGAATCGGTAGGTTATATATTTTTGAATATTTACAAAAATGGTAATTTAAGATAAGACTGTCCAACTCTGATTAAATGATTATTTACCTTCTTCAGTGTAAATGTGCTTACATGTCCTTCTAATAATAGAGCAACATAACAAATGTAATAATAACAATAATAATATTAAGAGTAAAATAATGAATGTAGCAATAACAATTATACAGTAAAATAATAAATGTATAATAATAGAGTAAAATGATAAATGTAATAATAATAAATAGAATAAAATAATAAAT